TAAGACATCAATTAAAAAACAAGTAAAATGGTTTCCTGCGGGGAACATTTTTAATGTTTTAATGATATAAAGATATTTCATTTAACTATTTTCAACATTTGTATCAGGAATATAGTTGACAATAATCGATCAATATAGAAGAAGGTCTTTGGAAACTTGTGACCGTTGAAAACCAGAAGGTCGAACATAAAAGAATTATTTCTTTTTAGAAAATGATTAAATAGGCATACCATTTAATGAATAATTCCGAGCAAAAATAAAATAAAAATAAAGTAAGCACACAATTTCAAGCAGAAAATATCTATATTTATTATGGCAGATGCCACTACGAATATTTTAATTTTGTAGATTTTCAGTATAAACAATTTATTGTTTGTAAAATTTGAGACAGATATTAAAGAAATGGTTCATTGATAATTTTCAAACACATCATTCAAGTTTTTCCACCTTAAACAGTAATATAATTATAGAAAATTAGAAATATCACGTATGTAATAGTTTTTTGTTCTTAATTGGGTGTAATTCGGACTAATCCGTAACGTACCGGCAGACGGTAGTTAGCTAGGTTTTCGAAAAAGGTCAATTAACCAATCGTGTACGGTTTATAGATCACATGCTCCTCCATGTACCGAAAACAGGTCACGTGCTCCTCCATGCCTCAAAAGTTAAACGCGTACCAATACCCTGCGGTCTCCAGACCGCAGGGAATAAAGGCTGTATGAGCAAAAATGTTTATATGAGCCGTGTCATGACAAAACTAACATAGTGCGTTTGCAACCAGCATGGATCCAGACCAGCCTGCGCATCCGTGCAGTCTGATCAGGATCCATGCTGTTCGCTATCAGTTTCTCTACTTGCAATAGGGTTGGTAAGCAAACAGCATGGATCCTGATCAGACTGCGGGGATGTGCAGGCTGGTCTGGATCCATGCTGGTCGCAAACCCATTATGTTGGTTTTGTCATGACACGGCTCATATTTATTTTTTAAACCAGTGACCTTGACCTTGACCCTAGAGACCGCTTACTCCACAAAAAATTAGAGGACCATCAAAGGTATCCACCTACTAAATATGAAAGATATCATTAAAGAAATTAAGCAATTAGGAGAAATTTTAAGATAAATCCAACTTTTCAAAGTGAAAAAAGGGAAATAACTGGGAAATATGGATGACACAGTTATATTACTTGGCAATATCATGTACTTTGTATTGATAAGTAAGTGTGGAAATTATAAAGCCATTAGTATAGATAGAACTTAAGATATTTCCAACTTGCTGGTTTAGGTTAACCATTATTCATTTTCAGGTTAACCATTATTCATTTTCTAAGTGCTGAAAAGGGCAATAACTTGGTAAATATGAAAGCAAGAGTTATGTAACTTGCCCAGATTATGTACTTTGTATTGATTAGTAAATGTGTAAACTTAGAAGCCATTGGTACAGGTAGAACTTAAGAAAAATCCAACTTGCCGTTCTAGGTTAACCTCGTACGGACGTTCCAACATTTTGGGTTAAGGGCATTTTCTTTGTTTTCTTAAGGGCTACTAGCCCCTAAACCCTTTGATCACAGAATGAACCTATTGTTCTCTTTTGTTCTCTTTACTGTTATATAGCCCCTAAACCCAAAATGTTTGCTCGGACAGACGGACGGACGTTCCAACATTTTGGGTTTAGGGGCTGTTTTCTTTGTTATTTTCTTTGTTTTCTTAAGGGCTACTAGCCCATAAACCCTTTGATCACGGAATGAACCTATTGTTCTCTTTTGTTCTCTTTACTGTTATATAGCCCCTAAACCCAAAATGTTTGCTCAGACGGACGGTTCAATTACTTTATGCCCGGGGGCATAAAAAGAGTACCCTTTACCTCATAAAGACATGTTTTGACGGCTTTTAGCACCCCCCCCCCTTTTTTGAGGCTTCAAACTGTGAAAAAATGCCCTATTTAGGCCCAAAACACTGTTTTTCGTTTGAAAAATGTTGATAAAAAAAGTGATCATTTATTCAGTGCCTCCCCCTATCAGAAAGGTACATCAAGGGGTTGCCAGAAGGGGGTTGTGCCCCCTTCTGTTCTGGGGGTTTGAAGGGGGCAGCAGACCCCCTCATCGCCAAAGAAAATTTTGGACATGTGACAGGCTAAAAATGGCCCAAGGTCGATCGTAAGGTAATGTGTAACCAACGCTGAAAAGCCCTTTACTCTATCTCAATCCATTGAAGTTGCAGCACTTTGAAATCAGTATTGATGGAAAAAAACAATGCAAAATAGTGATTTTTGGCAATTTTGAGATGACCCCCTGTTGCCATGGTAACAGGAAATTTAAGATTGAGCATACTGTTACAGAGGCTATGGTCTCAAGTTTCATCTGTTTTGAAGCATTTTTCATAGTTTCATAGCAATTTGAACTTGTAACAGGAGGCTTTTCAATGAAAAGGGCAATTTTTCACAATATGCTCATGAAGTAAAGGGTTAAAATGATACATTTAAATGTAAGCTAATGTTATTTTATTATTATTCTTTCTTCAATTTAATGAAAAATATAAAAATTGCCACAAAACAATCTTCATGATTATGTGTTAGGCCATGTTTTAACATGGAAAATCTCGATTTTGGCATAAAACAGTAAAAAAAAACCACCTGGATTTTGAATTGATATAACCCAAATTTTTTTAACCCCAAATAGTTCGAAATTCAGAATTTAGTAGTTTCGTAATTCAGAGGTATTAATTTCACAGAAAACAGGAAAAATTTCGGGACCCTGAAATTTTTTAGAAGTTACCAGATTTCAGAAGTTCGAGAATTCAGAAGTTACACTGTAACATGACTTAAGAATACATGTGTGACTATGACCTTCGAGGTAGGGATCTTAAAGTCGATAATCATGCTCGCTACACATTGTAATTATGGCATACTAATTTTTAAATCCATCTAGAAATGTCAGAACTGCAGTTGACCAGACACAAACATCAGTGTACTTCTACAAAAATTCTTATCATGACTTTTGATGTACAAGTGTGACCTTCACCTTTGAAGTAGGGACCTGATTCTTGTGAACGATGACACATTGTCATTATGTCCAACACATTTATGCATAATAATTTTTCAATTACGGACACGGACATCTGAGTGTTCTTTTATAAAAATTCTTATTATAACTTTTGATCTACAAGTGTTACCTTGACCTTTAAGGTAGGAGCCCAATTTTATTGTGCGACATGTCATCATTTATGCATAATGATCTTTCATCCATCCATCAATAACAGAATTATTGATCAGACAAGAACATTGGTGCATTTTTATTAAAAATTACCTTTGAAGTTTTAGTGTGATTTCAGACCTGGGTGTTGCACATGACTGATGGTCCCAAAGTGCTACACATTTATGAAAGAAGATTAGCAATGTATATGTACCAAATAATAATGCTCTCTTTTATACTTAAACCAGAACCAGTATTTATTTAACCCATTACTGCATGAGGCTGTTTTCATTGAAAAGTCTCCCGTTACAAGTTCAAATTGTTATAAAACTATAAAAACTTCTTCAATACTAATAAAACTTGGCACAAATGTTGACTGGACCATTGCCATTGTAACAACATTTTCAGTCTTAAATTTCCTTACCATGGCAACGAGGGGACATCTCAAAACTTTTCAGGAAATTGAGATAGAGTCAAAGGCTTTTCAGTGTTGGTTACACGTTACCTTATGATCGACCTGGGGTTATTTTTAGCCTCTCATAAGTCAAAAATTTTCTTGGCGATGAGGGGGACTGCCGCCCCCCTTCAAATCCCCCAAACAGAAGATGGCACAGCCCCCTTCTGGCAAACCCCTGATATACCTTTTGGATGGGGGGCGGCGCCACAAAAGTGCTTACACTTTTTTATCAAAATTTCTCAAACGAAAACATGTTTGGGGCCCACACAGGACACTTTTCTACTATTAGAGGCCTAAAAGAGAAGGGGGGGTGGGGGGTCGAAAGTGCGTTGTTCGCGTATATATGAGGTAAAGGGTTAAATATTTAGATACATATGAAAAGGCATAAACAAAGTACATAATGCCAGTTTTTATATTAGAATTGCATTTTCATGTCAATTTGTCCCCATTTCACTTGCATTATTGTCCCTGAAAGGACATTTTGATGAATAATTTTATAACTATCATGAAAGACACTCTTGAAGAAAGTAAGACTTTGTGATGGATAGAATTAGTTTCTGTTCATATCTACATTTAAACTTTGTTCGCTTGAACTCGGATCGCTTGAATACCTCCCTTCACTCGAAGTCCCGTTTGGAAAATAATTGCCCAATCAAACTCAACCAATTACAGTATGCATGAATATAGATTCACACAGTGTTACGTTAATATTCATTTGAAAACACTGGGATAATATTTCTTAATATTTAAAAGAAATGACGTATTTAACAAACTGATATACTAACAAACAATTATATTGACGTATTTATCATTCGGCTGGTGTAAGCTTGAAAACGTTTAGGCCTATGTCCTATGTGATAATAGTTCACCTCGGTAAATTGCACGAACTACCAATGTCTCGGAAAAAATTTGCACAGGCCCTTCGAGTTCCACCAAACAAAGTTCGACTGTATGAATTTGTATGAACCAATTCTTAGTGGTTTTGTTTTTGTATATGGGCACAATCAAGGTAAATTCTTAACTGCAACAGCCCTTTGTGTATATTTAAAATATATCAAAATGTTTTTGATACTGTACACTGGTATTTTTTGGTTTTGGACAAACTGGTTAACTTTTATATATCTTTCATCCACGGAAATGCTGCAGAACACCCTCTTGTATAATTTCATTTGTTAAAGTTAGTCTTATTAATTCAATAAATGCCTGCAATAATTACATAATAAGGGGAAAAAACTTGAAAAAAATTCTTAGAGATACATAAATGATGTTTAAAATTATAAATGACTCTGGCATAATACCAATAGGATTAAACATTTTCTCAGTTACTTTATTTTTTTCTATAAAATGTACTTACCCTGATTGGAACGGTGACCTTGCCAATGTAGGAATTATCAGCGTCACTACTGTGTTTCAGTACACTTAGGAAACTAAACAAATACATACAAAGGCATTTGTTATCACATAGTAGTAAATAAAAGAGTTTTAATAAATTTTCATAATTTATTTTTTGAAGATACAAGGTGAGTTCAAATATAATGCAATTTTCAGAAGTGCTTAACAAACAGTGCCAAAATAATTATTTAGTCCTTCAAAATACTCACCACCATCTGATACACAAAGTTTTAGTCTTTTAATCCAATTTTTAAATGCGTTTTCATAATCTTTTCGAGGTACAATGTATACTGTTCAAATACCGGAAAATAGCAGAACCAAGATTTTTTCGCCTTTGATATTTTCTTCCAGCAAGGTGTTTTTTGAACCTCAGAAATAGGAAAAAAGTCACAAGGGGAATGATCTGGCAAAAAAGGAGGGTGTGGAAGCTCAACAACCTTTTCCTGTTTCAGATATTCTTGTTAACTGGTACATTATGGCCGCTTTTGTATTAAGCTGTATACCTAGTTGGTAATCTTGCATCAGTACTAATCAAATCCTTTACCTTTTCAACCATTTTTGGTGAAATTGCAGTTTTCAGATGGTGTGTATGAGGTGCAACTTTTACTGAATCCACACCACTTTTAAATTTCTTACACCACCGTGTGACAAATGAAAAAGAAAGTTCATTGTTCCCATGAACAGGATATATTTCATTAATATGTCTTGCGCCTGTATATTGTTTGGTTTTATTAACCTGTCAATTACATACTCATTACACGGTCGATGCACACAGTATATTAATCTTCGGTAGATGTTCGGTAAGTTTCGTGAGATGTATGCTGTACGATGGAATTTTATTTATAATTTGTTTCTCTAAACTACATGTAGTCAGCGTTATAGCGCAATAGGGTAAATCACGAGTTTATAATCTAAGTGCCACACGTGTTTTAAGTTCGAGGCCGCGTTGGTCCGTTTTTTTCTTATTGATACTTTCAACATTATTGAATCTATATATGATTATTTTATGTTGTTCGTTTTTTTATTATATTTTACTTAATTTTGTTATGTATATACTCTTTTTAAATAACATGTTTTTTTTTAAGAATTCATGTTTAAAATTAAAACGGATTAAAATCAATAAATGTCTTTTCAATGCCGTAAAACACACTACAAATCTGTTCCATTAAAATATACTGCAAAAATAAAGAAAGAGTACTAAAACAATGGCAACAGTAAATTTAAGGATCGAACCACCCACCTCTCAATTATCAGGCATTCTCTTTACCGACTGTTCTATTGTGAATTAACGAAAACCTTCACATTAAGCTGGCGTGACTTTCAATCCATGACTAATATACTCCACATTAATTCTCGTAAACTACACGGACCAAACCCAAGTGGGATCGAATATTTAAATGAGTCCTATAATGTATTCATCATTGACAGGTCAATAAAATCAGACTATACCAAGAATACAGCGGTTCAAAAGGAGACCTTTTCCCAACCATTTTAGCTTTAGTATACACAAGTAGATAGCGTTAATCAATCTATTGTCAAATCTAGACTCAACTGATTCACACATTTATTGTTTCAATTGAGAGCTTACACAACAATCTATGTACATAGTTAGGCAAGCTAGATATTGGTCTAGTTGCATTCATATTTGAACACCCCTCGTAACAGGCAAAACGTCATCTAAAAGGGCAGGCAACGGATCAAGGGTCAATGAGCCACAAACTACTATTTAATTTGATTAAACAGATCACTGATGGACGGACTGTCACCTTGCTGTTCTGCTAAAGGTTTTGGTAACAGAATTGTACAACATGCCTTAACTGGGGATTTTAACTTGAACAAGACAGTCTGAAGGACAGCTAAATCCCCTTCTGCAAAAGACAATTATGTGTGCCAAGTTATTTAAAATCTTTCATAAAGTCAAAAAGTTATGGAGAACATTTAACCTTGACCCTGGGGGTAGCAACCTGGATGCTGGGTCATGCACATAATGTCATAATGGTGATCATTTCTTCCAAGTAATTTCAAACATTTTTAAAAGTTATGGAGCAGACACGAAATGTAGACTCTTTAATACTTGACCTTTAAGTGTGACCTTGACCTTAGGGGTAGCAACTCATTATTGCACTCTGTACCTCGTCTCAAAATGGTGATAACTTGTGCCAAGTTATACTAGGAATGTGTCGTCATGCCACAGATGCCCCGGCATGTAGCCAAAATTTTAAATGATATAAAAGTTTCAAATTCGTTTGCACAAACTATTTTTTCATCCTAAGTTCAAAGCCCTTAAAACTATTCAATGTTAACACAAACCATGTTTGTACAAAGCACTGAAACTACTCAGTGTTAACCTTTTGTAAATTGCATATTTGTAGCCAAAATAATGACTATATACAATTCCACAAAGTATGAGTGCTGAAACTGAAAATTTCAAAAAATTTCCGACAGTCAAGAGAGATTACTTTGTCCAAAATCATTGAACCATGAGCAAATTCAAACTTGAACTGCTTATTCCTAAGATGTATCTATATGTCAAATTTGAGTTGAATGTATACAACCATTGGGGAGATAATGAACAGAAACTAAAAATTTTTTTTTCAAAGTTCAAGAGGGGTAACTCTGTCAGTTATCATCAAACCATGACCAATTTCTAACAAACCATGACCAATTTCTAACTTGACCAGTGTATTTCTATGACATATCCATGTCTTAAATTTGAGTTGAATATGTACAACTGTTGGGGAGACAATAAACGGAAACTGAAAATTTCCTTTTTTTTATTAAGTTAAAAGGGCATTACTCTGCCAAAAATCATCAAACCATGACCAAATTTGAACTTGACCTGCGCAATCCTTTGACATATCCATTATTCAAATTTGAGTTGAATGCTTTATACCGTTGGGGATATAATAAACAGAATCTGAAAATTTCATATTATTTTCTAAGTGAAAGGGGCATAACTCTGCCAAAAATTATCGAACCATGACCAAATTCGAACTTGACCCGTATTTTCTTATGATATATCCATATGTCAAATTTGAGCTGAATGTATACAAAGATAACGAACGGAAACTTATGATGACGGAATGACAGAAGGATGAAAGGACGGAAGGATTGAAGGACGGACGGAAGGATGGAATGACAGAACAGGGTAACACTATATGCCCCAGCCATTTTATGGCGGGAGGCATAAAAATTTCAGAGGTTTAAGTTATGGAGTGGACACGAAAGTGTTACAGACAGACAGACGGATGTCCGAACGAATTGCGATAAACGGCCATTACTATTGTTATTTTTTTTGTTTAATAGAGGGCCATGACCCCTTATTCTATTGTTATGGAATGAAATCTATTGTTCTCGTTTGTTCTATTTACAGTTAAATAAGGCCCCCTATCTCTTTTCGGTAGTGCGGACGGATAGACAGACTGAAGGATGAATTGACTGACAGACTGAGGCCATTCCTATCATTTATGCAGGAGGGGTTTAAAAAGATATACTTAACAATGAATAAATAAAAAAAAAACATGCTCCCCCTCCCCCCCCCCAAAAAAAAACAAAACAAACTAGAACTGCCACTGTTATGGCGTGAATACCCCCGCATACCACTTTGTCAGAATCAACAGTGGTCATTTACAGCTCAAGGAAGTGTCCTTTACCTTTGACCTACTGACCTCAAAACTGAAACTGCCACTGCATGACTTGAACCCCCCCCCCATTCATGTGGCTTTGCCTGGGGGTGTTTTATGTCAAAATCAATACACTGTTGATAGGCATTCTTAAGCATTTGAGCCGACAAGCTTATTGTAGTAAATGCCCCTGTGACCTTGACCTTTCACACAGTCACCTAAAAATCAATAGGGGTCATCTACAAGTCATAACCAACCTCAATACCAAACATGAAGATTGTGAAAATTGTCAAAAGATCCTTAAGTTATTGGGCGGACAATCTTTTTGAACTAAAGGCCCCTGTGACCCTGACATTTGAACCAATGACCTCAAAAGCAATAGGGGTCATCTAATAGTCATGGTTAACCTCCATGCCAAATATGAAGACTGTGGATCAAAGGATTCTTAAGTTATTGGGTGGATAAGCTTTTTTTAGTCAAGGCCCTTCTGTCCTTCACCTTTGACCTAGTGACTTCAAAATCAATATGGGTAAACTACTAGTCATAACCAACTTTAATACCAAATATGAAGACTATTGACTAGAGCATTCTAAAGCAATTGAGTCTGCAAGCTTTTTGAACTAAAGGCCCCTGTGACCTTGACCTTTAACCAAGTGACTTAAATCAATAAGGGATCACCTAATGGCCATGACTAACATCCATGCCAAATAGGAAGACTGTGGTTCTAAGGAATCTGAGCAGACAAGCTTTTTGAAGTCAAGGCCCCTGTGACCTTGACCTTTAACCCAGTGACTAAAATCAAAAGGAGATCACCTAATCTAAATAGTCATGACCAACATCCATGCCAAATAGGGACTGTGGGTCAAAGGAATCTAAGCAGACAAGCTTTTTGAAGTCAAGGCCCCTGTGACCTTGACCTTTGTCCCAGTGACCTCAAAATTAATAGGGGTCATCTTATAATCATTACTAACCTCCATGCCAAATATGAAGACTGTTGGTCAAAGGATTCTTAAGTTTTTAGACCAACAAGCTTTTTTTCACTCAAGGCCCCTGTGACCATGACCTTTGACCTGGTGACCTCAAAATCAATAGGGGTCTTCTAATAATCATAACTAACTCCATGCCAAATATGAAGACTGTTGGTCAAAGAGATCTTAAGTTATTGGGTGGAAAAGCTTTTTTATAAGTCAAGGCCCCTGTGACCTTTGACCCAGTGACCTCCAAATCAATATGGTTTATCTAATAATCATGACTAACCTCCATACTAAATATGAAGACTGTTGGTTAAAGGACTCTTTAGTTATTGGGCAGACAATGTTTTTTTAGTCAAGGCCCCAGTGACTTTGACCTTTGACCTGGTAACCTCAAAATCAAAAGGGTCATCTACTTATCATGATCAAACTATATACCAA